CTCTTGCGAAAATGTAAGAAGAGAAGCGTCCTGAAAGGGACACCGGACTCGTTGTCAGGGATTACCAACCGAAGGATCCTTTTAACAACTGGTTGGCCGAACCAAGAGCTCTCGATGCGGTGGATGCGTCTCTCGTGTCTCTCTCTCTTTCTCTGAATACGAGTCGTGGTACGCTCGTAAAAAGGTAAGCCGGTGACAACCGCTATGACGCAAAATTTACGACTCCGAGGTCGTAGCCCAGGTCGAATCGTGAACACCGCGGGACAAGTTGTCGTTCACGTTAGCAAAAATGTTCTCTATTACCGCTTCACATCCGAGTCTCTCGACTCTGCTCTAACTTGGAACGAAGAGGAGGATGATATTCGTCAAAACGCTACGTCAATTTATTCTCCGGATACGAACGATCGGAAGAGCAATTGCCTCGTCGAATGAGACGACGTCGGATTAGACGATAATACGATGGACGAGAATTCGTATTAGGAATTTTTGAATCGCAAAAGAAAAAATTTATCTAATGCGGTAGCCGTGTCCCTCGTAGAAATTAAGACGGTTTTTAAGATGGATGGACGTGACAAATGATATTTGATTTATGGTTCCACTTTATGATCGAACATCGTGGATGATAATTCCAAGTCAGTGTCTTCGTACGAGATTCGTAGCTGTTCGCTTTTCGTACGAGCCCATATTAATGTGGCCAAGCCTTTTCCCGTTTACATATACGCCCAATATATGACTATCACGTTGCCGTCTCCTATCTCATTAATATTTCAATTACTCCCATCCATTTACGATCTAACTCGAATATAACGGGGAGCGGAGAGTTTGAGATTGCGTAACTGGTTGACATCTCGGTTAATGACAGCCACCTCTCCTATCGGAATATATTCGATTTGAATTTATCACGATAAATATATATACGGAATATACGTTAATGTTTAACGTCTTGAGGCGAAGAAATCGTGAATCGAATGATACGAATTTACGAATATTCTATTATTAGAACGAGTTAGTAACGAGCACAACGCGTATCACGGATAATATTTATGACAGTCTGTGACGATGTATGATAGAATCGGTGTCAACCGCAAGTGTATAGCGAAGGTGGAATGGAAAGTCGATCGAACGAGCCTCGGGGCTATGCGTTGTTTATCGTCTATTCTCGCTTCCCGTACTTCCCGTTCGATGAACCATGCAATTTTTCATCACCGTTGCATCAGTGCAACGAGTTTTTTCCTTATCGTTTCCCCGGAGAAAAAATTAATCTTCGCCGTTTACCATTACACATCCTTACACGCGCGTTTATTCGTTGTACTTAACTCCGATCCGTTAAGCGTGCTAAGAGAGATCGGGTAATTCAAGGGAATTGATATTAATTTCAATGGAAGTGTGTTTTATGCGCGTTTCGAGAGTTATTTCGAAGCCGAGCCGTATGTACGTACGTATGTATGTATGGTTTTCGAAAGAATCGCGTCTTGAATTTAAGAAGGAAACCTTAAACTCCATGCCAGCCCCCATGTGATATTTTAAAGGTTGGCGCGTTTTTTTCATTCGCTCGACATCAGGAACCGTAACCTCTCGCGACCTGTGCGGCGCAACAAGGATAAATCGTTGGTGGCGAACGAACGAACGCGAAGAAAATTCGAGGAGGATCCCCGAGGTTGACGCGAAAGATGACTTCCTTGTGCATCGGATCCAGGCCTCGCGCGTTCAATCCATGATGGATAAAATTAATCGGCCACGACGGTAACGAAGTACGTGCGGAGGAAGGAATTGCAAACATTTATCATCTATTAATTAAGCGATTAGTCCGGCGTCGCCTAACGAGTGGCTAGCGTGTGATGGAATTTCTTCGAGTCTAACGCCGCCGGCCAATTTCTATCCGTGCACCGCGGCAATCGGTGAGATAATCGGATTCTAATTCGGTTCGTTATAAATGTGGATAGATCCGATCTCGGTTTCTCAATTACCACGCGATCAGTTACACCGCCGGTCTTGTACTTCGCGCCATAAATCCAATATTTCGAAATATCCTTTGTTGCGGACAAAATTATCATCACGCGATGATGGAAACTCTTTTCCACGATTTTCGTAATGGGGATAATCGAGGTGTAAATCGTGCGTTACACGATCTCGTGTAATAATTCCAACTGCTCGATCATGATCCATCGTGTATATACCTATACATCGGCGCGTGGAATATAATACGTGGTTGAGGTTGGGGAGCGCAGTTTCCCCGGCCATACCAATGATTTTCGACCAGAAGGATGGAACGGTAAAGGGCCAGGTTGGCCGTTCCACGGTTCGGATAGATCGATCCGGGAAAAATCCGGGATTTACGTCGATTATTTCGCAGGCAGTAACGCGTGCACTTACGATTCTTGTCCCGAGGATCTACAAAGCATTGTCTACCGATAACCGAACGTTCCGCGCGGCCAGAAGGGACGGCAATCGTTACACTTTATGTCTGTATACGTATTCAAATGGGACGCGTGGGTGGCAAAGAGAAAAGACGCAGGTAGATTCACGATAATATACGACGAGTTGCCCGCGCAGGTTGATAGACGCAACTATTCGGATCCGTGCATGGACGATCAGGGATCTATTCTTCGGGAGAATGGATACAGTGGTAGAGCAAAAGTATATAAAAGTACAGTGGATCCGGGAAAATTTGTATTCCGCCGAATTTTTTCAGCGGTGGCGTGGGTGCCCTCATGTTCTCGTTTCGCAACAACACCCGTTGCAATCTTACTCGGTGACGCGCCGCCCCCACGATTTTCTCCACGGTTGTTGCACGTACCTCCTGTCTCATAGGAGGAACCCTATAAGAAGGTCTATGAAGAAAACGTTAGAGCGGTGAATTTCGCGTAGGTTGCATCGTGTCGGCCGCGCGAAGCGTGGCGCCACCGTGTCGGGACAATCCCCGCGTTACACACCGATGCCACGCGCTCGTTTTACAACTTGCACGCCGTGCATTTCTACGTGTGTTACACTTCCACGTGAGCCGCGTTTATCAAACGGTTATGCAATCGGTGTCGCGAAATTGATCATACAAATGCACGGTTACCGGCCATTTATTCCATTCCTCGAAGCGTGGGTCGAAGTGCCGCGCCACTCGATTCAGTAATTCCCGGCCGCGACGGGGGTATTTTTCATCCCGGCTACCCGATCAATAATCCCCTCCCGATCAGATCGTGGCGCGAACTCACAAAAGCCGATTCGTGGCTGATAAAATTATCAGGGAGAAAGATGATGGCGATTTCGTCGATAATGGGCCGGCCAAGAGGTACCGTTGTAAACCGCACCGTGCCCGGTTCTCGATCCAGGGTGAGGGCGCCCGTGATCGTGATCGATGTAGATCATTCCCTCCATCTATCCACGGCGATCCATACCGGCCGGTCCGCTATGTCTCCACCGATGTATATAATGTATTTCTATACATATATATATATATATATTTATACCAGTTTGTTCGAAGCGATCCGTTTCCGGGTCACGCCATGGTTGGCAGGTTGACGCCGGAGGTAGTACCTACACGCTATTGTCTCTCGTGTATCTCGGTTCCCTCGCATCGATTAGCATTGATTTGTGAATTGCCGATAGCCAGTTTAAAGAACGAATCGAATTCTATACGTGTTAATTCCCTTATATTCCCGATCTCACCGATTTTCAAAATTCTGTGTATCTATCTTCCAATTCTCGTCGTCGATAGATTTTAAAATGGAAATGATTGGATTCGAAAGAATAGAAGTTGAACATTTCGAAACGATTAGTTTTCATTGCAGTTTCACGTACGCTCCATTGTGTTCCCACGTACGTTAAATGTTTATCCAATTCGCAACACGAGTCCGACATAGAATATATACGAAAATGAAATTAGAAAGGAACAGTTGTACTTAAATAAATAACTTTCTTAACCCGTACGTACGTGTTCCTTTTGTTGACCACAATGTAACTTGCTCCAAACCTGGCTTTAATTGCATAGAAAGGATTTCTGGCGTAGAGATAAAGACACCTGCGAGCAACGAGCAACTGCAGCTATCCCGAGTCTTCCAGATTACGTAACGATCCATACCTAACCGAGTGTGGGACTCGCTCGTATCTCGAGTAGTGTACGTCGAGACCCTTTTAGATTCGAATCTCTCCTCGACGAGCAAAATCGTATAAAATGCGAAGATACGATCTACGATCGGACCACGCCTCGAGAGAAGATCGAACTGTCTCTACCGTATACGTCGAAACGGTTTTTGACGTATCTACCGGGAATTAGCATAAGGCGCGTCTCGTGGGCTTATCGAGAGTCAATACAACCGTTTATTTCCCGTGCAAACATGCTGAATAACGGAAGCCATCATTCTGCATTGACGTTAGATGCACAGATGCGGTTAGACAAAAGTCGTATAGTGACGGAACGATGCCTTTACGAGAAAACTCGTTGTACCACGTTGGATGTATTCGAGATCGATTTTGAGGAACGAGAATTTCGTGAAAATCTAAACGATGGGATTTCAAATTTTTTGGCGCGAGTTTACGTTTCTTCTCTTTGTTCCCGTTTAATCGTTAATTATTAATTATTATTCATTTAAACGATATATATTTCGATAAATATATATAAATATATACTTCGTGTATGTAAGAAAAAAATTGAAGAAATTTGGATCTGAAGAAATTGAAGAGTCTGGATCGATATTATAAAAATCGATAATTAATTCCTTTTTTTTTTAATTCTGTCTTTTTCTGCTCTATCTTCTATCGATAAAGAATTTAATGTATTTTTTTCTCATGTATTTAACCCTTTATCCACAGATGAGATCTGCAGTTCCAATTTTACCCTGAATCGGTAACGTTGGTAGTGATCCTTTTTCGATCTTACCAATATTTGATTAAGAAGAAAATTTAATATCAAGGATCGTAAATGTAGCAAAAATACTTATTCTCTGTAGAAAAAACTTAGAAATGTAGTTATTCCTTAAATCCAATAGATGGCGAACTCCAGCAATTTATTCCATCACGTGACAATTCATTCCATCGGATGTTTATTAATTCAAAAAAATTCCAATAAATCGCATTACGATAATGTTCTAAATCGTTCATAAAACAACGTGTCTTCCATTCTATTTATTCGACTCAATTCGTTACTTAAACGATACGAGAAATAGTTCATCGATATCAAATACGAAATTATGACTGCGTTCAGCCATGTTGAAACTATACATCATGGAAGCAATCGATCGTGCGTGAAAGTAAAGTCCCACGGTTTCCTGTCCCACAGTGTCTCAAGGTGAAAGAACTTGAGGATATCCGCTCCGTATCATACGTGTGAGTACTTTTAATCATTATTTTCACCGTTAAGTTATATATACAGGACCGACTATATTACCGATTGGGTTACAACAGGATTTTAAATACCGGTAATGATTGTAAAAATAAAACGAAGGCCCTCTAGAACGTTTTTTTCCACGGTGAGCAATGCTCAAGGATAGCTAGATAGGTAGGAAAACGTTAGTTTATACGTGATGTAAGTTTACCGGGTATTCTAACTTCTAGCATTGACTTTCACCGATTCTTTTAAGGAGGCACGCTCGGCGTTCGTGTGGGTGTACGGACGTTCGTGTTGTGTGGACAGAGTACGCACAGTAGATGAGGTCATATACCCATCCACTCTTACAGGTGGTTCCTCCTCCATTCACGCCGATACAGTCACTCCGTAAAGCGAGTGCACGCCACCTTCTCTCAGGGAATCCCGGTTTAATTTTCATTAGTGCATCCCGCTATGATGATCGATTACGCGTTAAGTATTAAATACTCAGTGACGATCGTGATGGTGTTCGCGGTCACATCCACGTACAGTAATTACACGGACATTGATCTGCCCTCCGATCACATCAAGTATTACTACAACTATTTTCCCACGGTGGCCGAAGAGTGCCGCAATAATACCGCCTGTCCCTACAAGGTAATACGCGGTGTGTTAATAACGCGATTATGCAAGGATTTATCGATTAAAGATGAAATTACGCATTCGGTATATACATTTTCGCTCGCATTTTCATTTTTGGTTTTCATTGCTTGCACGAGAGTGTACGAATAGACGTGGAAGCATCGAGGATTTTGCACACGTGAACGAATTGCAAATAATTCGAGTTAACAAAAGATGAATATTAACGAAGAATTTTTCTTGGAAAAACTTAGGGTAGCCTTGATACCAAAGCTTGTTGGGGTTACGAGCCGAATTGCAAAGCCGAAAATTCTTTTTCCGTTCCTCAATGTCCAGGTGATCACAGAGGATGGGTGACTACGAAAAAAGCACAGGTAGAGACGTTTTACGCTCAAGGCGACTTTGGCTACGTACGCGATCAAAGAAAAGAAATGTCGATTTTTTGCGAACCGTTGTTCGTGGTAAGTTTTATAGACACAGTTTTATAGATTGTTCTTCAATTCCTATTTCTCCTAACTTTGATCGTTTCAGGATGACTCGTCTCTGGAATGCTCGGAGCACATGAGATTCTGCCGAGCAAGGAATATAATGATCAATTTCACGGATCTAATCGGAAGGAAGGAACCTATACGATACAAGATGGATGTCTTAAAAGAAGGTCAAATTGGAGGATATTGCACGTGAGTGAAACATATTAGCAAGCAACGATCAAAGATTTAAACCGTCTCGTTTATCCAGATTAAACGAAAAAAGATTAGAAGAGAACGCGGATCATATTAGTCCATTGCAATCTTGGGGACCCGAACTACGAAATTTCCGCAAGTTATCTCGACCACCAATCGTCAATCACGATTGTGATATCGTGATCGAGAAGCCAACATTCGTAATGAAAATAGACGCTAGTAAGTCGTAAGGATGAGTCGGAATGACCGCCATGATCAACAATGGTGTCGTAAAAATCTGTCAAATTAGCGAATAATCCCGCATCTCGATCATTTGTCAAAGTCGTTCTGTTTCAGTAGTAAACATGTATCATCATTTCTGCGACTTTTTCAACTTATACGCGTCATTGCACGTAAATCTCTCGCATCCAGCCGGCTTCAGTACTGATAATCACATAATGATTTGGGAAAGCTACAGGTAACCGACATCGAAAAAGAAAAACCACGAGATATTAATGAGTTCTTTGCTACTTTCAGCTATCGTTCTGCGTTCCAAGACGCTTTCGAGGCTTTCACGAGAAACCCGCTGTGGGATTTAAAAACGTTCCGAGGAGAAACCGTCTGTTTCAAGAATCTTGTATTCCCCTTATTGCCGCGAATGATTTTTGGCCTATACTATAATACACCTCTTGTACGATTATTCATTTTTTTTTTTTTCAATCGATGATCGCAAGAATGAGTCGTACGATTGATTTTTATCGATGAATATGATTTTAGATTTACGGCTGTGAGAACAGTGGATTGTTCAAAGCTTTCGGTGAACATGTGTTGCACAGATTGCATATACCTCTCCATGAAAGGAAAAACCAAAGAATAAGAATTACTCTGCTTAGCAGAGATACACAATATCGAAGAATTCTGAACGAGGATGAATTGGTGCGGGCTTTGAAAGAAAATCCGCTATACAAAGTGAAAAAGGTATCCATTAAAAGATCTCAATATCTAATGATATCAATATCTAAAATGAATAAAAGTATAATGAAAAATTCTTTTTTTTTTTTTAGGTAGTTTATAATAAAAAAGTATCATTTAAGAAACAACTAGAAATCACAAGAAATTCTGATATCTTTATTGGTATACATGGAGCTGGACTAACACATCTCATGTTTTTGCCAGATTGGGCAGCAGTATTTGAAATGTACGTATGATTGAACATTTTTTTCTCTTTTAAAAAGAAAATTCATCTCACGTATTATTATTATATAGATATAATTGCGAAGATCCAGGATGTTATAAAGATCTAGCTCGTTTGCGCGGTGTAAAGTACTTCACATGGGAAAATAATTCGAAATTAGTGCAACAAGATCCTGTAAGTAATTATTTTTTTTCAAATAAAAAATTTCATTTGACACTTATTGTGAAAATAATTAAATAGGGTACGCATCCTGATGGAGGAGCGCATGCAAAATTCACGAATTACAGTTTCGATGTTGAAGAATTTTTACGTATAGTTTCGCAAGCTACCGATTACGTAAAAAATCATGATTCGTTTAAAAACTTTGTCGCTAAAAGGATCCAACATAAGAGAACGGAAATGAAAAATCAAACTAGCGCAATGAGTGATGTAAAAAAAAGTGCAACTTCTAAATCGAAAGTAACCGAATTAAAATCCGATACTCAATCCAAAGATGAATTATAATGAATATTTTAGCTAATTTATTTCGATGACAACGAAACATTTGAATGATAGACTCAAGATTACTAGACTTAATATCGAATGAATGAAACGATTTGTTACCAACTAAATATTTTACTTATTTTTATACATATATATGTACATACTTATTTTATTAAAAAAAAAAAAAAAGGAGCAGCAATAAATATGAAATACAATATGATATGTCTATACAATGGCAGTGTAAATATTTTCAAGTTAATTGTTTACGCCGATTCGTAATTTAATTTTATAAAGTAGAAAATTGCATACATTGCAGTATGCAATTAGTACATGTCGCACGTTTTATTTATAATTTAATTTGTACCTGTTTTCTGTACAATAATAAAACTGACAATACATTTACAGCCATGTATGCGATCAATATTTGCACAGCATTTAATTCATTTATATATAACGTAGGTACTAACATGTTAATACCACCAGTCATTAAGTTCGAAAATAAAAAGAAAATTAGACCATTGTAATTAACAGCTTCGAATATTTCGATGGTATTTTCTGCTACGTTTTTTTCATATTTATCAGACACGGTTTCTCGTTTATTTTTTATATTCGTTTTTTGCATTTTAGTTTTCTTTTGATCGTATTCTAAATCTATGTTTTTATAAACTAATATATCGGATATTATTTCTATCAAGAGTAATAATGTAAGTATCATAACACCTAAAGTGAGAATCCACATGCAATATCCTGCATTTGCTAAACGTCTAGATACCCTAAAATATGTGTCACAAAATAAAGTAGCTGCACAAGTTTGAGCTGATATTAAAGATAATTTAATACATAAAATCATGGATTCATTATAATTTGCATCAAATTCATATCCAAACAATTTAATATGAATTATTCTAAGTTTATGCTGGAATGGATTTTGTGCTTGTGAATTCTGATAAGTGGAATGAATTAATCTACCAATTGCTACGCCTATTAGATAAAGTCCAACATATCCAGGAACAGATACTACACCTTCCCGGTTAGCAGATACAAAATCATCTCTTGGTTTGTTGCTTAAAACCCATTCTTTTAACCCCTTAGTACTCAAAACATATTCGTGCATCCCCAAAATCCATATTCCTGATAACAATGAGTATTTTGAATTGATGGTACTTGTTATAGAACTAGTAAATAGTTTAACAAAAGCAAGAGTTATAAAAAAATTCCAATGAACACCATATTCAGTTACGTGCTTTTGATATCCCAAAATTTCAATTGCAACAGATCTGCCAAAACCCAATATTAATAATGGAATACAACTTCTTGCTGAATATTTTATATTTTTTGATATAGTATGAAAAAAACCTATTCTAGGTTTAGGAGTAAAATCTCTAGCTTCTGGAGCTACTAAAGCATTAGCTAATATAAATAATCCAACACCAGAGTCCATTAAACTATATCCAAATATTTCAGTTTTGGCAAATTTACGAGGAAAAATATGAAAATCTATAGCTAATATACATATTGCTGTTATTATGTTAGTTAATGCTCTGAAATTTGTAATGAAAGGTTTTTTGTTGTAAGCAGATTTCCTATGATGCATTGGTAAAGAATTCAAATTAAATCCTAATATTAAAATATTAATAGCAGATATTGCCATCATAATAAAACACACAATAATAACATATTCAGATAATATGGTACAACATAAAATAGATGGAATTACAATTAATGCAAATTCTATTAAAACTCTAATATTTTTATGGATAACCTCATTGAAAAGACCTATTATAGTTGTAGTCAATAAAATACTACAAATATTTGGCATAATAGCATATATAACTTCTCTGGATGTTGTCCCACCATGACCAGAAATAAATGCTTCTTGTTCTTGACGATAATTATTCTTATTCCACGAGTTTGACATGTTGTATAAAGTGAATATTTATTTTTCCTGATAAGAAATTTAAAAAGAAATATTATTGGTAAAATACAGAATATTATCCAAAAATTTTCTATCAATCTCAACTTACTTGAAAGAACATTATCTGAATTTTTATCTTAAAATATTACATATTATATAATTTAAAATTATAAACTCAACTCAACTACAAATGAATCACGTGTTTTTATACTGAAACGTGCATGATAAGCAATAGATGGTGCGATGATTTATTTTACTGGCGATTGTCAGTTTTTAAAAAATAATATTTTTAAAATAAAAAAAAAAGAAAAAATAAAAAATTTTAAATATTCAAAAATTTAAAATATTTGTATTTTTCTGATATTCATATTATATAAAATAACCTATACTTTAATAATAGATAACTTATTTGAATATTATGAAAATAAAAAAATTCAAATTGTATCATCATAATTCGTATAGTATATAAAAAAAATTTTAATATGTATATGTAAAGAATATAGAGAATCATGTTGATTTATACTTTTTTTTAAAGGATATAATTTCAAACGAAATATCACAAGAAATACCAAAGAAAACGACAAAGAAATTTTTTATGAAAGAAGATTAATGAAATAAATTCATTAAAAAATATAAAACCAATACATTGATTAATATTGAATCAATGAATCAAACATGATTGAAGAAAACATGAATCAACAGCAATCGGTACAAAATCTAGAATTCATTTCCCTTTGTGAAAAAATGAGGCCTGCATGCTTTCACGATTATATAGGACAAGAAAAAGTTGTTGGATCTAATACAATATTACAACAATTATTAACAAAAGGTCATATTCCTAGTATGATATTCTGGGGTCCACCAGGATGTGGAAAAGTAATTATTATTTTTTTTAATATTTTAAATATTATTAATATTAATTTTATGAATTATTTTTATAGACATCTCTAACTAATATTATATCAAAGCTAAGCAAAGAAATGCATGGAGAGAAAGTAAATATCATAAATCTTTCTGCAACATCTTCTGGTGTGAGTAACATCAAAAACATTATTAGTACAACAAAAACTGAATCAAAATTCAATCAAATTATTGTAATAATGGATAAAATACATCGTTTTAATAAACTCCAACAAGATATTTTTTTACCACATGTTGAAACAGGCTCATTTATTTTAATTGGCACAACTACAGAGAATCCATCTTATAGTTTGAATTCTGCTTTACTAAGTAGATGCCGTATATTTGCTTTAAATAAATTAACAATGTTAAATATTGTAGAAATTCTTTGTAAAGCAATTTCATCAATTAATGGAGAAATATATAATTTTCCTCTCAAAAATTTATCAACTAATTTAGAAAATAATTTAAATTTTAGTTCTAAACCACATTTTTTTATTAATAAAACAGCTATTGATTGGTTAGCAGAAGTATGTGATGGAGATGCTCGTGTTGCATTGAATGGTTTAGAATTGGCTATTAAAATTAAAATATCAAATAAGCTAAATTCTAATTTTGTTTCAATAACTTTAGAAGATGTTAAAGAAAGTCTTAAACAAGCACATATGTTATCCGATAAACAAAGTAACAATATACATCATTTATATTCTGCTTTACATAAATCAATAAAAGCTGGTAAAGAAAATGCATCTTTATATTGGTTAGCACGAATTATGGAAGTTAAAGAAGATCCTGTAGATATTGCAAGAAGATTAATAAGAATATCAAGTGAAGATGTTGGTTTAGCAGATTTAGATGCTCTAGGTATACATTTTATAGAATGATTCAATATTATAGTAAGTATTATAATGTATACAATTAATTTTTATTTCTAGGCATAGCTATTCATACTTTGCATGGATGTGAAATGATTGGAATGCCAGAATGCGATGTGATTTTAACTCAATGTGTTGTATATTTAACTAGAGCACCAAAATCTCAACTTGTATATAATGCATTAAAACGTGTTGAAAATATTATTATAAATCATAAAGGTCCACAGCCTGTAGTACCATTACATATTAGAGATAGATCAGGACAAGAAAAAATTCATACTACTTTTGGTAAGATGTTAAACACTTAATATGAAATTTTATTATTTTTACTTGATATTCTTTACAGGATTTCATAAAGAAAATGTGTTAACCAAAGAGGAAAACGTTGAAAATTACTTACCACTTGGCTTGCTGCATGCTAATTTTTTTTCAGAAGACTTCTAAATTTTTCTTTCTTCTCAAAACAAATTTGGAGTATACAATTTTATTTTATACATTTTAACAAATAAAATAATCAAACACTACACAAATCTTATTTATAACTTAGAATATATCACTTAGGAAATCATAAAATTGATATTTTTATTATAATTTGAATAACAATTAATAATATTCAACAATTAAACTACGATTCACTTTGCCTTTGACACTATTACGAAATGACCGCGCGATTTATTATACTTACGAAGTATAAACAAATGTTAAAATAACAAAAATATTAAAATTATTTAAATTCAAATCTTTCAATCTATTTAGAAAAATATAATAAAAAAAAATATATAACAGAAGTTATGATTTATTTATTAATTATGCACTGAGAAACAAATATTATAATTAAATTAAATGTGATTTGACAAGAAAATTTTACGTTTGAATTGATAGAAAACGGCGCGGAACCGTCGACCAATCAAATTTAATTTAAATAAACCTTATTGGTTGCTGAAAACAGGTATACCAACTCTTGATAGATCGATACACAATAAAAGATTAACGTTCATTGGAAAGCTTTCTTTTTCACGTTACATCAGGTTTCGAAGTCAGTGAACGTGCCTCACTGTGTCGAAGTGTAATGTTTTCGTATGATTGTTAATAATTTAAATTATTGTGTTTTCCATACGTTATACTAAAAAATTCTATAAACATGAAGTTGTGGACATCACATCATACTTTTGAGTGAGTGTTTTTTTGTACAAGTTTATTTCTAACTTTCCAAATTTTTCTATAAAAATGTTTTTTGACATTCTTTTAATAGAAAATAAATTATGTGATATATGAAATTTTAATATTTTTCATTTGTAGTCATCCATGGGAAACAGTTGTAAAAGCAGCATGCCGAAAATATCCAAATCCCTTAAATCCATCGGTTTTGGGCACGGATGTTATCGATAGAAAAGTTAAGGATGGTGTTCTTTATTCTCACAGATTGGTTACTACTCAATGGCGTTTTCCTACATGGATATTACCAGTAAGTATTTTAAAAATGATAATTATTAAGATTATTTGTACCATATAACGATGAGTATAACCTCTTGAAAAAGGTTATATAGAAGTTTTATTATTAATTATATAAATTTATTAAAAAATAAATTTAATTTAATAAAATTCTAATAACAAATAAATTTTTATATATATGTATATTTTTTTATATTTTGTCATTGAAGTTTAATCATATAAATAGAATTAGAAGGTTGCAATATGATATTTACATTATATAGTAGATTTTTGATATAATATATATAAATACAATTGATTATACAAAAATTTTGACTTTTTTTTAAATATTAAATCTTTAAATATATCAACGTTTCAAATTAGAAATAATTTTATTAGTTATATTACATTAATTATGCTATTCAATTCTATTTAGTGTTATCATATCATCGTATTATCTATTTATTATTATCTTATTTTACACATACTTAATAATAATACCTGATACATGACATTTTCTTATATATAAAGTTACGAAAAAAGAAATTTGAAATAATCAATGTATGTTATCCGATATGTTTTCATGATTTAATAGTACTTTTAATATATCTGTTTGATTTTAAGTAACCTTTATTGGAAAATAAAATCTTTTGTTTTCAATACATAATTAATTGTTGGCAAAATAAAATTCCATTCATCATTGTAAATTTTCCATTTGTTTCCATTAGTTCTTCTATCAGCCACATAAGCGCTGATATCATTTAAAGTTACTCATAATTTTCAAGGTTAAATTTTCATTGGCTGATGAAAGCAGAGAAATATGGAATAAAGAAAATGTTAAGCTTGCTAAAACTTATTCACATTATCGATTTTAAGTAAGCATTCTTATAGATATATTACAAATTTATTTACGCTTTGCGTTTTTTATCAAAACAACCTTTGATTCTTTCTCAATTTCAAAGCACAAAGAGATTATTTTTATTTCGAAATTAACTTTAAATATTAAGAAATCATATGTGAATTTGTAATTACATTTATAGTATTGGACGATACTATGTCACGAGTAATTACGTGCATTGCATACGTAAGTGATTGGCGAAGTGCCGTTTAATGCAAACTAGTAAGACATTTATAATAACATGTTTACGTAATTTATTATTTTTGAAAAGTATATAGATTTATATTTGACGCGTATAGAGTTTTATTACGTTGTTTCAATTTTTTTAAATGGATTATGCATTTTTATTATCATAAAATGGTAATCAATCGTCAATTATGTAACACATATTTATTATATAATTTTAATATTGATACAATATTAAAAAACGACTAACGTTAATATCAGACTCTTCTATTTCTAAAGCCAATAACTTGTAATACTTATAATACTTTTAATTAATATTAAAAATAAAAATAATAAATATATATTCCCTTCCCATTTTATATTTTTCACTTATTCATTGTATAATTTTCGCTTTATCCATATTATATCCATTTACCCAAACAATGGAGTTTGTTCAAAGTTTAGATATCGTAAGAAATCAATCTGCACGCGGGGTTATGCATCCCTCCTTTACCTGGCAGTAGTTTATAGACAAAACAGTTCGTTGCCGTTTGACCAAGCAATCTATACAAACAACGGTAGTAGCCAGGAGCAGGAAATTCGAAACTTTCGACAACATGGAGCAAGAAGAAGGTGTGCGAAAGCGAGTTCAGGCTCGAAGCAAGAGGGAATTACAAAACAACGACACCGACCGTATCAACTTTCATAATGAGCACTTCCACCGATGTTACGCTCTTTGGCAATCATCCAACCAGGCACTTGTGTTTTGGAATATATATACCGGAGCCTCCCTTAGGACTACTCTACTCCCTTCATCCCTGTTTCTTCTCCAGTCTCTACGGGGAGAGATTCGAGCTTCGAATCTTTTTCGGCTCGGCGAATTGCTTCCTTTCGCAGGATTTTCTATAAGCTTTGGCCATTTCGCAAAGCTGTCCTGTTGTACCGGCTCTCTCGCTCGAATGCTTCGAATCACAGTTTCGTAACGAATGCATAGTAGACGGAAGGAAAGAAAGAAAAGGAAGGTATCGCCTTCGCATTTAGCCACTCTTGAAATTACTTGACGGGAAGGGAAAGTGCAAAGCCTCGTTTCAGTTTGAATTAACAGCAACCCTTTCCTTCTGATCCTTGCTTTTTTATTTTTATTATTATTTTTTTTTCCCTCCTTCTCCTTCCATCTCGACCTGGAACGAAGCTTGTCGAGCCAATTGCCGCATCGACGAAAATTTCTGACTAATTAACAGATGCACTCGAATAACAAGTCGCGTTGGATATTGGAACGGTTACCGATGCGGGTGTGACTTTATAGACATTGTAATAATTGACTGGGTCGCGCAATTAAAGTATAATTAATCAGAGAAATATAATTAATTAGAGGCATGACACGTAGCTTGGCTTTTTGAACTCTGTTAAATTAATTTGATAATTAATTCTTCAATATAAATATTGTATATCGATAATTAAATCTTACATCGATAAAATTAAATTAGTTTTGTTACGTGTTTCTATCACGTAATAGTGATAAATCTAAAGAATTTATGATTGTTATATGATGTTTATGATTGAACATGTGTATTCTATATTATTTTTCTATAAATTATTTTTCTTTATTTCTCATTTATTGTTTTTTCAGTTTAATTTTATCGATTCTCTATAATCAATTCTCTCTTATTAACAACCTTTGGACAGCATCTTTCACATGACTTACTTATTAATCATATTCTCTTAAACATTTGTATATATTCTTTAAAAGCTCATAAAAGAAAATATGTTTACTTTTCACGTGCAATTAGATATTTATATAATTATTAAATCGTTGCTTAATTTACTTTATTTTTTGAATTCTTTAGCACTAATATTCTTTCAATTGTTAATCACTCGTTATTACTTTTTCAATGATATGGAATTTTTGCTAAAAAAAATTCTATTTCTTTTTGTTTCAGTTCTTTGGTCATCAAGGTCCATACTTTGCCAGTGAATGGAGTGAAGTTAATCCAGAATCTAAAGAAATGGTAGTCAGGACGGTAAACGTAAGTTCATTAATATTTCCATATAATTTACATAAATTATTTGGAATTATTTATTTGATTTGATCGGTCAGGCGACTTTTAGATTAATCAAATACTTTGAAAAATTTACGATTATGCGTATTACAATAATATTTTATATTAATGATGCATTAACGCGTTATCGTACGATATTCCGGAAATAGTTTGCCGGTTCGTTTCCACTTAATTCATATCGTTAATCGAAATATCATGTATAATGTTTAATCAGACGGATGAGTGTTTCTGTGAAGCATGCTTTTACGGAGATTTCATTACATTTGCTCTTTATTACTCACATATTACTCGACAAAGTACTCTGACCGCATTTGTAATTTATCTTCTCGAAACGAGATAAATGGAGGATGAATAAATCGATATTCACTCGTGCAAATGTTGCTTTGCACTTCGATATCGGATCATCGAATCGCGTTACATCTAGCGTTCCATCTAATTGAAACGAATAATTCGACGATAAAGCGTGGGAAAAAAAAAAAAAAAAAAAAAAAAAAAGAAACGAGCAACGAATGTATCTTCAATTTTCAAACATGTACACGCATCCCACTCGGGAACATTTTAATATTTCACACGATCGGGATCCACACTATTCCTTTCCGTGCTTGCATTAGCAATTCATTTGAACGGTGAAAATAAATTTGATGAACGAAGTGCAACTCTGCTCGCCCCGCACACGCATGCGATGCCACTCAATGCACCTATCCGTGTAATCGAACAATCAATATATTCTCAATTCCATTCGAATCGAGATCAGCAAGAGTAATTGGAAAATAGGTTGATGAAATTTCACCTGTAGAATTACACACATCGGGTTTTTCCCCTACGACACGCGCCCCATCGCTTATACTTGTAATACGGTACGGTAATCGAAAAATATCTGCGAGGATTCGCGCATGTAACACGTGCAATTTTGCATTTTGAAAAATAGCTGCCGACAAAAACGACACGAACCATTCTATTCTTCACCGGTGCAATA